TGGAAGAACGCAAACTTCTGGATATAAAGTTCAAAACTACAGTTATAAGGTTACTAAAGAATCTTCTAGAAACCTCAGAGGAACTTAGTGAGACCTTCAAGGATCTTAGTGAGAACGCCAAAAAAATGGGAAGGGACCAGTCAAAAATTAAACATACACTGACTGAAATAAAGAATAGTATACAGGGATCCAACAGTAGACTAGATGATCCCAGAATCAAGGAAGCAAAAAACAGCCAACCAGAAGAGCAAAAAGAAAAAAGAATCCAAAAATATGAAGACAGTGTAAGGAGCCTCTGGGACAACTTCAAGCATACCAATATCCAAATTATGGGGTTGCCAGAAGAAGAGAAAGAGAAAGGTATTGAAAACCTATTTGAAGAAATAATGACAGAAAACTTCCCCTGTCTGGTGAAAGAAATAGACTTACAAGTCCAGGAAGCGCAGAGAACCCCAAACAAAAGGAACCCAAAGAGGACCACACCAAGACACATCATAATTAAAATGCCAAGGGCAAAAGACAAAGAATCTTAAAAGCAGCAAGAGAAAAATAGTTAGTTACCTACAAGGGAGTGCCCATACGACTGTCAGCTGATTTCTTAACAGAAACTAGTCAGGCCAGAAGGGAGTGGCAAGAAATATTCAAAGTGATGAATAGCAAGAACCTACAACCAAGATTACTCTACCCAGCAAAGCTATCAGTTTTGAAGGTCAGGTAAAGAACTTCACAGACAAGAAAAAGCTAAAGAAGTTCATCACCACCAAACCAGTATTACATGAAATGCTGAAAGGTATTTTTTAAGAAGAGGAAGAAGAAGAAAAAGGTAAGATAAAAAATTTTGAACAAGAAAGTGACAAATACATATCTTCTATCAACAAGTGAATCTAAAAATCAAATGAATAAAAAATCTGATGAACAGAATAAACTGGTGAATGGAATAGAATCAGGGGCATGGAAATAGAACAGACTGATGATTCTCAGAGGGAAGCGGGTGTGGGAGGTTGCGGGAAGTGATTAGACAAAGATCTTATATGCATGTATGCATTATGTATGGACACAGACAATAGGGTGGCAAGGGCCTGGGGTGGAGTGGGAACCGGGTGGAGGGGAGCTATGGGGGAAAAAAAAGAGGGACATCTGTAATAATCTCAACAATAAAGATTAAAGAAAGAGTTATAAACAAAGCTAAGTAAATAAATAATAACTATTTCAACTGAAAAAAAATATATTGCTACAAGAGATGTCTGAGATTTTACTGCCTATGTTTTTTTCCTAGGATTTTTATGGTTTTGCAACTTAACATTTAAGTGTTAAATCCATTTTGAGTTTATTCTTGTGTATGGTGTAAATTGGTAGTCTAGTTTCACTTTTTTGCATGTACCTATTCAATTTTCCCAACACCATTATTGAAGAGACTGTCTTTACTTCATTGTATGCTCTTGCCTTCTTTGTCAAATATTAATTGACCATAGAGACGTGGGTTGATTTCTGGACTCTCTTTTCTGTTCCCTTGATTTATATGCCTGTTCTTATGCCAGTACCAGGTTGTTTTGATTACTATGGCCTTGTAGTATAGTTTACTATCTGGTATTGTGATCCCTCCAACATTGTTCTTCTTTCTCAAGATTGCTGAGGCTGTTCAGAGTCTCTTGTTTCTGATAGGTTTATCACACGATCACCAGACATTTGTTTGCAAGTTTATATATTAGAGAAAAAAAAATTTATCAGGAATAGAGAAGACAGAAGTAGTTGTTTTGTTTCTTTGTTTTATGAAAAACAAACAAAAAAACAGCAACAACTTAACCCAAATGATATATTTCTCTACCTCTTGTGTAGATATTTAAGACCATAATGGCCATAGTTTAATATAGTGGTATATAAAATGCTGGTCTTAAAATCATAAGGTTTATATTTGAGCTATAGCTCACTTCAGATTGTTAGCAAATTATTTAATCTGAGCCTCAGTTTCTTAATCTGTATAAATGAGTATACAACCTATATCACAGGATTATTATGCAAAGTAAATGAGGAAGTAAAGTTTGCTGTTATTAGTGTAATGCTTTAGAAAGGTAATGTATTATTGACAATATTGTTAATTCTGTGTTTTTCAAAAAAAATACAATAGATTTTTGGATGACCACTGTTTTACTCAATAGAACACTCTTGCACAAGATTTACACTTTTTTTTCTTCTTTTTCCACTTTAATAATTTTCACAAAGCCTGTTCCATGCTTTTGAAGTTCTTTTCAAGTTTGAATCAGTTAACATCTGCCACCTACTGACCCATTTCTCTCTACTTCCTCCAACTCTGCTCTCTCCTTACATCTTGCTTGTTTAAGCTGAGTGATTAAAGTGGCCTTCACTTGATTTTCCAAAGATCGAGATTAATGCACTGTTAGAAACAACAACTTCTAAATATGTTTGCATAGGAGCCAGTAATATTCTTTTTTCTCCCCTAGAGAAAACAGTTCTCAGAGAAAACAGTTAGTAAAACCGTATGTGGACTTGCTTTTTCTTTTATTGTTTAGTGGTTATAGTTTTTTAAAGTGAGTTCTGCCTACATAAAAAAAGGTCTCAGTATAAAGTTTCTAAAGTGACTCACCACATATGCAAGTACTTCAGATTGCATGCCCTTAACTACTGTTTGAATTTTTATAGGTTTGTAATTTTGCTGACTGCAAGAAAATAAAAGGCCTAGTGCCAGTTCTTACTGGGTCAAGATTTATTTTAAAGTATCAACATTTCCTCAACTTTTTGATACTTAACAAAAGTTTTAGAGATTTTCCTGCAAAAAAGTTTGACTAGGTTTTATTTCAGTAAGAGAAATTTGGGGTGCTAATGCCATCAGTAACAAAAGCATGCAGTTGGTGAACTTATTAATAGAAATTGCCATACACTGGACTACCCTAGAGATGTGTTTTTATTTAAAGAGGCTAGTGGGGGCATCAAGGACTAGTAATTATATTTGTGTCTTCAGCAGAGCTCTAGGTGCAGAAAACTTGACCAGTGATTTGAAAACAGACTGTTACTCTCCTGAAATGATCAGGAGACGGGTTGCTCAAATCAATTCCTGTGACACTAGGGAGGCTTTATTAGGTAGCGGTTTGGGGATGCATTAAGGAAGTACACACTGAACTGAATTTGAATCCAGGTCTATCTCTTTACCTGTTGTACAACTTTGGGCAGTTCACTCTACCACCCTGTGTCTTATTTTCTTCATCTGTAAAGTTCTATAATATCTATTTAATAGGCAGTGATTAAGTGGAATAGACTTAACTATAACATATGACTTAGCACTATAGTCAATAACTGGCATTTACTTGCTATCCAGTTAATAAAAGTTAATCATAATAACTGGGAATTAACCCTCCAAATAGTTGTTTAAAAACTTGCATTCCATGTTGAGAGTCATTAAAATATAGAAATATGTTTGAAGTTTCTTAAAAATCTTTACAAAACCCACATTAGAGTCAAAGCAGTATTTACAGGTAAACCAATTGAATTTGACAAGGATTGGGACACTCTTCTTGAGCACCTATGAATCCTAATCTGCTATTTAGTCTTTGGGCTAATCATTTTACCTTCTAAGGCTTAGTGTTCTCATCTGTAAAATAGGCATAACTTTCTAGGGTTGTTTTGAGAATTAAAGGAATTAAACCATAGAAAGCACTTACTGTAGTTCCTGGCACATGTTATTCTTGTTAGGTATTCTTGTTACTCCACAGGTACCTTTTTGGAGATGGCCTTGAGAACTTGAGGGAAACATAGTTCTGGATTTTTTAAATGTATTGGTTACTATTGGAATTTGGGCATTGAATACTTTTTCATTTGTATAATAATTATCTAGTTGACTTACATTAAGATAAAATACAATATTTGGAATCTCTTATTTAAACAGCACTTTCTTTATATTTTGTAAAAACAGATTTTTTACATTGTATCTGCTATGGTCTAATGTTTGTGTCCCCTCAAAATTCATATGTTGATATTCTAACTCCCAAGGAGATAGTATTAGGAGGTGAGCTCCACCTTCATGAATGGGATTAGTGCCCTTATTTAAAAAGGCTGCAGAGAGAGTCCTTTTCCTCTTCTGCCATATGAGGTATAGCAAAAAGATGGTTGTCTTGAGCCAAAAAGCCAGATTCTCACCGGGCACAGTATCTGCCTACACCTTGATCTTAGACTTCCCAGTCTCCAAAACTGTAGGAAATAATTTCTGTTGTTTATAGGCCACCAGTGCATAGTTTTCTGTTACAGCAGCCTGTAATAGAAAAGACCACATTTATTTTGCAGTCATTCTATGTCTCTGCACTTTTAATCCAGTTTTAATTCATGCATCTGCTTTCCCTCCTGCTTCACTTTCTGTATGTAGAGTGACCCAAAGAAGAAGCAGGAGGGAAGCAGGGGAGGCAAAGATTGTGTCTGAGGCTAGTAGATAGTTAGCCTTACCATGATCAGATTTAAATTGATTTATGACTGCTTTTTCAAGTTTTACCAACAGAATACTTTTATTGCTTTTGATCACTGTTATAGAATAACTTTAAAGGAAATCTCTACTTTTTTCAGCGGCTTTCAGTAATTTTTTTCGGAGCCATAATTTATCCATTAACTTTTCAAAATACAGTAACAGCTAATAAAAGACTGACAATCAAAGAGTTATATATTATGGGTATTATATTAAGTATAGACTCAAGGTTATCCTACATAAAGCTAATTCTTTTATATCCTCTATTTTGGGCTCATTATGTCCAGAATAAATTATTTAATGGCATGGGGATTTTACACTTAGGGAATTTTCCAAGTTTATAAGATTTTTATGAGGAAGCATTGTGTTTTGTTGGTTATTATACTAAGAAGTTGATGAGTTTTAGTTTAGGATAGAGTTTTGGTTTTGTTACTGACTAGTGGTTTGGCTTTGAGTTAAAAAACAAAACCTAATGGCTCTTAGCTCTTTGACTCAAACCATTACTGACTTATAACCCCCTTCCCTTCCAAACTAGGATTACCTGAAGGATAAAGAAGAGCATCTCAGACCAATGAGGTATCCCCCATTGCCTTCTAGTGTGTCCAACACACAAGGAAGCATAATTAGTTAAATTATGCTTAAATCATCATGCCCTGATTTTATTTGGCCTTGAGGCTTCCCTTCTCACTTTTTACCCAACTTTATCTCTCCCTCTTCCCTTTCCTTCTTCCTTTGGATGAGCACTAATAGTTCTGAAGAACCTAGTTAGGCACTTAATAGTTCAGAGCATAATTTTACCACTTAAATTATTTCAAAGCTCTATATTTGGACTGCCTTTTCTTTGGTCATAAATTTATTTTTAATTCTTAATTAAGAACAAACACACTGTTTATAAAATTATTCCTATGAGAAAATGACTCTTGTTCATTGTCATAGCAATCAAGGCTCAACATGTTCTCTAGGCATGTTATTCCTATGAGAAAATGACTCTTGTTCATTGTCATACGACATGTTCTCTAGGCATTCAGTATAAAAATGGGGACAAAACACCTGACTTCCAGCTTAATTTTAGCTTGACATATAAGTAATAGAAGACCTTACTAAAGTAGCTGAAATAATGAGGGATCTATCACTATTTAAAGGATATCCTATATAATAAAAGGCTAATATGCAAATAGACTGAATGATGGAACAACTGAACAACCGGTCGCTATGACGTGCTCTGACCACCAGGGGGCACGTGTGGAACATGGCGGGCCTCGGCCTTGGTGGGATGATGAGCAGATGAGCGGGGTGCCGGTCGCTGTCATTGGGGCGAGCCTCTGGTGGTTACTGAAAATTCTTTGCTCCTGCAGGCCATGGTCCCGCCCAGTGCTCACACCCGCTGCCGGTGACGGTCCGCTCGCACCTACTGCTGCCACTGGAGCTGCCGCTTGTACCCATAGCCGGCCCTGGAGCCATGGCTCACACCCACTGCCGGTACCCAGCACTGGTCCCGATCGCTTGGTGCTGTTAGTGGGTGCAAGTGGCGGCTCCCAGCCCCAATCGCCCCTGAGGTCTTCTCTACTTCCCCATGCTCCTGAGGGGCGACCGGGGCAGCAGCCACTGCTCGCACCCGCTGACGGCGCTGGCCCTAATCACTCTGCGCCGTCAGTGGGTGCTAGCGGGGCTGGCGCCGTTACCTCGTGGCCCACAGAGCCTTTCAAGGTGCACAAATTTGTGCACTGGATCTCTAGTATTATATTATTCAATAGGAAGCTTAGAGCACGGTGATTAATTGACTGCCATAATGATGTTATTAGGAACCCACATGGATATTTTTCATTTTTTTTACTCTGCCATCTTGAGTGTTTTGGCAGTGTCGCTTCATGATTGCAACATGGGCGTTTTTCCATTCTACTATTTTTAAATAAGGAAAACGTATCCTAATAAACTTCATTGGCCATAATTGTATCATATGCCTGTACCTAAACCCAGTTGTCAGAGTAAACATTGTTTGTCATAGTGGCTAGACCTAGTTAGGGTTCACCTCCTAAGGTAAGAGGGTGAGCATTACTGCCAGCAAATGAGAAAGGAGAGGTGTGTTTGTGAAAGGACTGCCACAGTCTGTCACAACTAGGGGAGATCACAGTTTTGTTAATTTCTGCAAAATTTTTAATGAGATCACAAAATGTAGGCAGTCATGCCATGATTTATTCACTGTATGTTTTTTTAGTGCTTCCTGAATTCCACTGCTCTTACTGAGGATAGAGCAGTGAACAAAAGGGAAAACAAATGTTGCCCCCATGGAGTTTATATTTTATTGATGAGATGGACAAACAAGATAAAGCAATTCAATTTTATGGTATCTTATGACAAGTGCTAATCAAATTTGAATGAGAGGAGGGAACATGGAAGGTTTGGGGGCGGGGAGGACGGTTGCATGAAATTTTAGATTATGTCCAGGGAAGGTTTCCTAAGAAGATGACTTGAGTAAAGGCTGAGATAGTGATACACCTTTCTGGAGAGAAAGGGGTATTCTAGTCAAAGGCTCTGTGGATGGAGTGGGTGAATGAGGGAGAGTCACAGGAAGTGAGGTCAGAGGAGGGAGCTACTAGAAGTTTTGAGCAGAGGAATGACCCAGTAGAACATTTTCACAGAATTGCTTTGGCCGTTGTGTTAAATAGACCCAAAGAGCATTAAAAAATGGAAGCAAGGAAACCAGTTAGGAGGCTGTTGTGATAATCCAGGACAGATGATGGGGACTTGGATGAGAGGAGTGAGAAGTAGTTGGATTCTGGGTATTTCCAACAAAGCCCACAGCATTTGCTGATGGTTTAGATGTGCACTCTGAGAGGAAAAGCGGCATCTAGGATAGCAGCAGGTTTTTGGCCTGAACAGTTAGAATGGTGTTGATACTTTCTGAGATTAGGAAGAACAGGAATTGGATTTAACATGTCAGTTAATTGGTTTGTTAAATTTGAGATGTCAAATAAGTAATTAGGTATGTAAATCTTCCTTGATGGATCACTATATATTTTTGAAAAGGATGAGATTCTGCATTAATAATAAGAAATGGCTTTTAAAATAATATAAAGTCAAAAACCAGCAATAAGGAGAAACCGGGAAATGGAAAAATAAAGTGTTACTAGTATATGGGGAGAGATATTTTATATTCCATTGAACAAATATAGGGAAACACTAGAAATAATTTTAAAATAGAGTACTCAAAGAAGCAGTTATACACTGAGAATTTATTTAGTGCCTACTATATTCTTTCAAAAATCGCTTATTAAATATGTATTCTTTGAACCAGTGGCTCATTTTTGAAGCCCCAAACCTTGTTCAAAATATACATAAAAGGGAATACATTACAAGGACCGATAGTATATATTTAGTTTGTGTCCATGCCCTCTGTGACATGATGCAATGATCTTTCTAAGGGACTTGTGTTGTTGACAACTATGTTATCTTCCCCCATCCCAACTTCCTCAGTATTGTGAGCCTATAGTTAATGCTCAAACATATTATTCAATAGCAATCCAAGCAAAGAGAAATAATCACTACAATAAATCTTATGCTTTCCTTTTAAAGAGGAATTAGTCCAAGATACCTTTTAATCAGATTATTGTACTTGTTTGCATTTAACAAGGATGCAACACATAGCTAAGATTTTCAGTCTGTATACATCACATAAAATGCTGAGAACACCTCAGAAAATACCTTTCATATTATAGGTACTCAAATATTTAGATAGAAAATTTGATTTATAATATCATTAACATTTCTAACTTTTAGGACTTTTAAAGTATTATGCTGCATGAAGTAGGTATTGCTTGATAATATGTGCTCTACCTGTAATGCAAAATTGTTTTGTCAGAGAAAAGTACTATAAAATAATATAAGGAATTATTTATAGGGTGAAGAAATTATGCTTTTTAATATGAATTATGCTTTTCTCATCACACTTTTGGCCAGTCCGGGTGAATATATGACTGATGGCCTATATGGACAGTGAAAGGAAACATTTACATGTAGAGGGAAATATTTGTTCAGAACCCGAGTATATTAAATTACTTTAGTTTACCTGTTTCTCATGCTAATTTTTGCAAAATGAGCATTTCCCAGGGGAAAGTTCTACAAATTTGCAGTAAATTTGCAAATTAAGCAAGCATTTATGCTAGTTTCATTTGAGACCAGATTGATAGTAGGTATGAATTAACCTCATTCTTTGACCAAGCTGTGAGGTTTTTATCTACAAGTCTGCTTTCAAGTTCTTTGGGGTATATCCCTTTATATACTTCTTGGTTTTTTATTTTTTTAAAAGTAGAGTTAGGAAAATATGTTGCCTAGCAATTAGCATTTGTTCATGTGTGCAAATTATTACCTAAACTAGTGATTTTCAACCTTTTTCATTTCATGGCACACATAAACTAATTACTAAAATTCTGCAGCACAGCAAAAAATCTATTTTTCGCCCAGCTGACAAAAAAATAGGTATAATTTTTATTCATTCACACTGAACAGCTATTGGTGTATTGTCTGTTGTCATTTTTTTATATGACAGTCTAAGAGAAAAGAGGTCAGTGCCCCTGACTAAATAGTCAGGTAGTGCAAAATTCTTGTGGCACAATTTTGTTGTTGTTGTTTGTTTTTATGTTTTTAAATCACTGGCTTAAATAATGTTATTCTGAAAGTAAAACTCTGATTTGCCACAATGTAGCAGCTTATAATTTATTATGTAAACAGGAATATATTTAAATTATTGAAGCACAATATTGAAACGATCTTCCAAGAACCCATCAACCAATATATAGAACCAGAACTTTATGAATACAGCATGTGTTTCTCCTTGCCTTTGCCCCTGCTGCCCTCCTTGACTCCCTTACTCTTCAGTTTTGTTAATCACTTTTTAGTAATACTGAGTTTACTATGTAGGTCCTTAAATAATATACCATTTAATTTTATTTTTTAAGTTTGCAAAACTGGTAGTATTCTATAAGTAGTCGTCTGAGACTTGTTTTTTTATTTTTTTTTACATTTATTTATATTGTTATATGTAGTTGTAGTCCATTTACTTAACTGCTGAGTAATATTCCATTGTATGAATTTATTTATTCGACTGGTAGACATCTAGTTATTGTTGGGTGTTTTTGTTTGCTTTTGATATTTTATTTGTTTTTGATATGTCTATATTGATGTATTGGTACAGATATGTGTGTGTAGCTATTTTATATATAGGGTGGGGCAAAAGTAGGTTTATAGTTCATATAAAAATAATACAATAATTAATAAATGATATAAGAATAAACTCTGTATTTTGTGTACTCACACTTATAAACCTACTTTTGTCCCATCCTGTATATATAAACTGTCCCCAAAATATATATACACAATTTAACAGTTGGTAACCAACTGAATTTTCACTCCTTTTCAGGTTTAACTGATTTGAAGTAATGGGTGAAGCCAGACTAAGCTTTGAACAAAGAAATCGTATCCTAAAGAGCCACTAGACTTTTTTTTTGTGGGGATACATAAAAGATAAAACTTACAGTACAAAACCAGCAACAGTTGATGAATTAAGGGCATACAAACAC